TGGCATCAAGTGTGAAAACGTCTGGCTCGGAAGCTGCTCCCTGAAATGCTTTCACTAGAGGAAAGTGCCCAGGCAGAAAGAGGGCAGGTTTCCACGTATGACACCGCAGGCAGGCGCCGAGTTCATATGTAGCATGGTAAAGGTCCTGAGCTTTGCTGGAGCTGCTGGCTGCTGCCTTTACCAGAAGTCCTCTTAGGCTCTGATTATGGGGCTTACTGTCCTGCCCTTAGAAGTGAATGAGCTCGCTGGAAGCATAACGCGGGGTGAGAGCACTTTATATTTCCAGGGGACGAGCAAGTGGGCCAAAGTGGGTTTGAGCCAAAAGATTGGGAAATTTCATGGTGCAGAGCTTTTTTTTTTTTTTTTTAACTAAAATTTAACTAAGATTTCTAAGCCATAATGTGAGGCTTACTTGAACTGTCGACATCTCTGACCCAAATCTCTTTGGTGGGCAGCCCTGAAGCCCCCCCCAGATGCTCATGCGACCCAGTAACTGAGGAAAAACATGCTGAGGGATTCTACTGAACTTGATGCAATTGCTTGCAGTAATAAGGCCACAAGCTTAGGCAAAAAGCCTTCGGCAGATCAGAGCTTAGGATAAAAAAGGAGGGGGAAACAAATGAGGAAATGTGCGTTGCTTTGGGCTGGGGTAGAGGTAATTTTCTTCATAGTAGCTGGTGTTTTGGATTTGTGCTGGAAACTGCGTTGATAACACAGGGATGTTTTTGTTACTGCTGAGCAGGGCTTGCAGAGAGTCAAGGCCTTTTCTGCTTCTCACCCCACCCCGCCAGTGAGTAGGCTGGGGGGGCACAGGCAGTTGGGAGGGACACAGCTGGGACAGCTGACCCCAACTGCCCCAAGGGATATTCCACAACATATGACATCATGCTCAGCGCATAAATCTGGGGGGAAGAAGAAGGAAGGGGGGACGTTTGGGGTGATGGCGTTTGTCTTCCCAAGTAACCGCTACACGTGATGGAGCCCTGCTTTCCTGGGGATGGCTGAGCACCCGCCTGCCCATGGGAAGCAGTGAATGAATTCCTTGGTTTGCTTTGCTTGCGCACGCGGCTTTTGCTTTCCCTATTGAACTGTCTTTATCTCAACCCACGAGTTTCCTCACTTTTACTCTTCTGACTCTCTCCCCCATCCTACTGGGGTGGTAGTGAGTGAGCAGCTGGGTGGGGCTCAGTTGCCAGCTGGGGTTAAACCACAACCACCTTTTTGGTGCCCAGTGTGGGCCTCGAAGGGTTCCAGATCATGACATGTTAAGATTGGAACGTGCTAGATCAAATTTAGAGCTGTTAGTGCTGTTTAGTTATTAATTGACAGGCTCCTGTGCTTGCCATGGGCTTGCTTGCCTTACTGTACCTTAGAGCCCAGTGCTCGTGCTATTTGCTTTTGCTGCTTGCTGTCCTGCTGATCATCTCACCCTGCTGTGCCCGGGACATTTTGGTAACCGCCATGGCCCTGTGCCTGGGCTGGCCGATGGCCAGGGCATCGCTGCTGTTTCTGTGCTGGTGTCCCGGACAGGCTGGAACTCCAGTGGGAACTCAAGGTGGAGGGACTGTGACCTGGGGATGAGTCCACATGGGAGCAGGACACCCCAAAGCATCTGTGGCTGTGGGTAAGCCCATGCCGGAGCAAGTACATCTGGAACCATCTGTGGCCGTGGTTACGTCTGTGCCGCAGCAGCTATACCTCTGAAGGGACTGTGGCCTAAGGATAAGTCCATGCTGCAGCAGGTACACCTTGAAGCACCAGTGGCTGTGCATGAGGACATGCTGGAGCACCTCAAAGCATGAAAGAACAGGTATGCCCCTGGAGGGACTGCAGCCATGGGTAAGGCCATGTAGGAGCAGGGGCTAGGGCAGGAGTTCATTGCAATGTTAAACCCAATGGTCTGATCCAAAGAGACCAGGGGTGGAGATTGTAATGGAACTGCCTTTAAATTGTTGCAACCTGGGTTTTGAGTTGCATGTTATGGGAATTACCATTGCAGGAACCACCTGAACCAACGGAGGACAAGCCTTACGAGAAGCAGTGCAACTGCAGCAGTGCCCCGACCTGAGCTGCCTTTGGTGCCTGGTACCTCCACACAACACAGCACCTCTCCTGTCCTGAGGGACCACTGTAACTGATGGAGCCCAAAGTCATGGACTACATGCACTCAATGGACATTTTGTGGACATTGTAAAGACCTTTTACAGGCATGGTCCACAGATTAAGGGATTGGTATCTGTGTATTATACCAAAGGAGGGGAAGGGGGTGGTGGTGGTTAATGAAGTTGTATGTCACTGGGGTGGAGTGAATGAGTGGCTGTGTGACGCTTAGTTGCTGGCCAGAGTTAAACCACGACAAAATGCTTCTCTGAAATTCAAACTGCAAGTTTTAATGTAAAATCTTTTTCTCTTTTTTT